TAATTATCATCTTTACAGCGCACGTTTTGTCCTGTTGGTGAAAATTTCCACTAATTTTTCCTTCTCGTACATCTGTTCTGTAAGATATGATGTGCATTGCACGCGTATCGAGTTTCGTTCGATTCAGTTAANCCCTGTGGGCACTAAGAGGGCCTCTTTATACAAGCCCATTATGAGTTCGGCCAGGCCCACAATGGGGCGACCGGGTGGTGAAGGACGGGGCCCGATCTAATATCATTGTGGTGTCACCCCTTAGAGACTGAATTGTAGATAGAGATTACAGATACATTTTTCACATTATTATGCTTTATCAACAATCTACGCTATACTTACGAGATTTGTAATGGAGGGTTAACTCTCCATTACAAATCTCGTTAACTCTAAACGCACAGTGAGTTTTTTTCATCGCGCTATTCGGACTTCAATACCTAATATTGAAGGATTGATCGCGGGCCACATAAATTCATTAGACAGGCCGGATCTGGCCCGCGGGCCATATGTTGGCCATGCCTGTGACATACAAATAACCAAAATCAAAGAACGTCGTTGAACATAACCACGGCAACATTTGTTTGGTTTTTTACCTTTACCTTCCTTTGGTCACAAAGGCCTCATTGCAAAATTTGATGTATTGTCGATCAGACCAGCAGTTAAAACGATCAGAAAGTGAAAGAATAACATAACAAAACTGATTAGGCTACGTCGTAAAATCTAAATACAGTATGTATTTAGTTGAATAGTCTTGAAGGTAACAAAAAATGTTTTGATAAAATCAGCATTGAGAGAAATGTTGATCATTTTATGTATTTCTTTTATTTCTGGACAGGAGCTATCGTAGGAGTTGCATTTGCAGTTATTTTTGCCTTATGGTTAAATAAATTAAATATATTAATACCGAGCAATTAGAATTACGGTGAAGATACTCGGACTCATTTGAAGATGGCTCAACTGAACCTAAACGAATGAAAATCAGTACACAAAGCATTGAAGATCACGCGGCATTTACAGTGACATTATTTGATACTTTCATATTGTGGATAATTGGCATATTGAGCTATTTAGCCAAAATCGAGTTTCTAGCTGTGTGGTTATTTAAAATAGCGTGTTTGTCAGAAGTGAGTGCACTCAGTATCGTAACCGAAGCTCAACATAGTGCCACATGTTTCCTAAATTTCTTCGGAAAGGTTACATGCTGGAATTGATACAATTACAACTTGTGGTCGACAGAAAAGGATCCCACAATGAGTACGTTAAGCAAAATTTTGTTAGAAAAATATAATTTTGCTTAATGTACTTATTGTGGAATCATGTAATGTTTTAATCTTGTAATTTCTTCATTGCTACGCCATATTTTGCCCTGGATATGTGAGTATTACAGATTGAAATATTATTATTTCTTTTTCAGATGTACGATAATTTTATCAGCATCGAAAAGGTTTCTTCTGCAAATCTACCATTGACATTCAAATTTAAGGTAAGTGAATAATTACAATAGTCTAAGAAACACTACAGTTCGATAAGATTTAATTCGAATCTGCATGTGAGGGCATTTGAATAAACAGACATTTTCAAATACCCGGAAATGCGTACGTTCTAACACTAAACCCTCAGTTATTACACAATGAAATATTAAATTATAAGAAATTGATTAATATTTTACAACTTTTTATTTAAAAGATAAACGACTTTATGAAGAGATTTGGAAAGATTCCTCTTGGCATATCCATTGGCGGATTCTTCTACATAAAACGGGATTTCCCGATAAGGGTAAATTGTTATTTATTTTTTGATCGTAAAAATTAACGTCACTTATACATAATATTAATAAAATATCGTTAATTTCAGATAACCAGTGCTCTGTATTCGATATTTTCTTCGTGTATTGAAGTGAGCGGAATTTTTAGAAAAGAAAAGAATTGCACAGTCAAACATGGAAACAACATATTTCGTAGTTAAATCTTTCCGACAGAATATAGCACAAGTTAGGCACAAGTTAAACTTATTGTTATTGTGTTTTAATATTTTAGCATTAACTGATTTACTTTTCAATGTACAGTACAGTTGTCCCTTGATAATCCGACAGGTATGGGACCAAAGGTGTGTCAGATTACCAAAAGTGCCCGGATTACCGAAAATAATTACATATTTCGCATTGTTTTGCTAGCAGTAACTTACAATATTCTCTACTCCAACTGTTCGAACAGAACTGCTCACATAAAACACAGGAAATGTGTGTCATCGAGTAAGAATTGGATGGGGAGATTCACATCGTGACATGCTTCTGTGCAAGCAGACACGTAACGGGGACGGGTACCTTGACGGGAGGTGCGTCGGACTACTGAGCATGTCGGATTAAAAAACGTCGGACTATAGAGGGACAACTGTATTCGGAAATTAATATCTGATATGCAGAGAATAACGCAAAAACACAGACAAACTGTATTTCTTATACACAAAATGTACGTGCATTTCTTAGCTACTTCTGGACGTAAGTTCAGAATTTAGGCATTTTTCATAAGAAGGCAATATTTTCTCTATGCCACTATCAAAAATGTTTTCTGCCTGAGAATTCAGCCATTCACATTAGCATGAATTAGTTACGCATTGGTTTCGAAATGTTGCAATTACCATCGAAACGATTGAAGATATGCTTGTGAGCACGCGTTACTGTAGTGTATTATCAATAAAATCTGTCAGAAACACACCTTTACAGATTTTATGCTGCATGGAATTATTGTTACTTTGCAAGTGTATTGTGAAACTCTAAGAAAGTTTTGAAGAGCGATTCAGAACAAGAGGCCATACACGTTGCCCTACACCTTAGACTAAATTTTTTGTCATTCTTCACATTTGAAAATTTTAAAATTGCATCATACAAATGCACAAATGTTTAATAGTGAATGTAGTGAAGTAGGAAAATTACATGTGGTTTTCTTGTTATAATAATATACTTTTAATATTAAAATTTTATTATTTCTCTTTTTATAAAATACAGTTAAATCTCGGTTTTCGAACAAATCTGTTCAACAACAGAAATTGAAAATCATAATTGCTTTAGGTTACCGAACAAGCTTCTTGGCAAGAGCCGGCCACAGATTAGAGAAAAACCTATGGGCAACTCCTTATATTTTCTTTGTTACAGAAAGTGGACGGTTCGACCAATCAACAACAGGAGTATTAATTCAAAAGTAAGTGGCGCCTTGCGTAATTAGACGTCACGAATCATCGATGATGTTGCTATTCAAATTAGATTTAAATGAGCGTGCAGAAAGATATTAATTCCGTGTTTGGTACACAACTCAGTTGAATTTAAAAGAAGTTTATTAATAAAAACCGCGTCAATTGACATTTCCATAATATAAATTGTATCCATTTTGTATTGTTTTTTTAAATTTATTTAGGTATTAGAACTACTATTAAGAACAGAATTGTATTTGAAAACCGAAGTTTAACTGTATGTTATTTATGTATGCAATGATATAATAATGCATAAACTATCGTCCAATGCTAATGACGAGTTATTTTGTCACGTTACTAGTTACTTTTACAGATACAGAGTTTGTACTTGTATATGATATAACAATAAAACATTTTAACATTTAAAAACTTCAGCAACGAGTTGCATAACTTACCCGGCTGTTATCAGCTTTTATTTGAAAAATAATTTTATTGTATTTATAGGCGCAGTAATTAGTTTCTTCGTAAAGTCTTCATACGAATAAGAATATTTTAATGATAACGAAATTGAATTTGAGTATTAATTTATCCTGTCAAAAATACTATTGCAGTTAAAGTGAAATTTTGTCTACAAATCATCATCTTCTTCGTCATTTACTTTGTTCTATTATTTATCGTATTTGTCTATTACTTCTTATTTGTCTTCCACTTCTTGTTCTTCGCATTTTACATTTCCGGCTATTATATATGACATAGATCAAGAGCGGATCTAGGTTTTTCAGGGCCTAGGGCCTATTGAACTTTAATGGGGTCCCATTTTTACCATTTTTACCAAATCTAACCTAATGTATTAACTATTTTTTTCTATACTATAAGTGCTATATTGTTAATGAAAAAGTATTAAATATTTATGATAATAATTCAATGTTTGTGGTCCCTTGACACTTGGGGGCCCAGGACTTAAGCCCCATTAGTCTCTATTTAGATCCGCCCCTGTTAGAGGGAAAGTATGGTGATCGGTTAAAAAAAGGACCCCTAAGATTTTTACATTTTTTTCGACTCGAAGACCTTAAAACATGGAAAAATGCACACAAATTTCAGGGATTTTTTCATGTATGAATATTAGTGAGTGGGGCAACGATTTTTTCCACCTGTTTTTCAAGCCTTTTGTTGAAAATTTCTGTATACGGTCAAGAGGAGTAGATAGAAAGATCGCGTGTCGTAACTCGAATAGGATCGGACTTACTGAAGATTTTATTCGTTATTAGCATTTACAACTTTTTATAAAACTCGTCTCTACCCCTAAAATTAAGGTTTTAATTATTTAAAATTAAATTAAAATTAATAACGTCCCGGGCGAACCCCGTAAATTTTTCTCCGAATATATCATTGAAGGCCCGTTTCTTGCCTCCCTACACCCATTGTATGCCTAGCCGAATCCAATCTTAATGGCCCTCTTATTGCCTAAAAAAATGAAACAATAAAATACCAAACTCAAACTTGGAATAGATCTCACTACTCTATGCAATGCCTATTGTTAGAGGTGGACCCCTACTTTAAGAACCACAACCTGCTCAAGAGCCACACCTAAGTGTTATCTGTTCTTTAAGTGACGACTTAAAATTGCAGACTTAATGAATTCTATTTATTAATTTTCGCAAATTTAAGAGTAAAAGTAATGAATTTAATGTATATTTTTAATGCTAATTTTCTTGTCTTTCGTATTAAAGCGATTTAAATTTACCCCTATGAGTCTAGACGTGTAATTCAATTATAATTATAATGCTATCATGTGGATCAGATAAAATATTATCTTCTCGTAACGATAACAAATGTATTGTACATGTATGCTTTTACTGTATGCGTTGTAGCTCTTCATTAATTTCTAAAATAATTTATCACAAGTAAGTGTATTGCATTTTTAAACGTAATTAATATTTAGTAAGGTATTCGTGTAACATATTTTTGTTATATTCTCTTATCTTATAAGTCGTACATTGCGAAAGTCTTTTGATAAGATTAACAACTAAGAGGTGACTCGTATACTTTTTAAACTTAAAATATCTCATAAATGATTTGTAAAATTGTTTTTTAATTTATGTTAAATCATATAAATTCGATTTCTCACTTATTAAAAGTATTTAAAAAGAGCCTAAGCAGAGAAAAGTGATTTGTTGGTGGATAGGGTCTGAACCCATGTCTTTTAATCGTCCATGGCTTAATTTTAATTACTTCTTTGTTGTTATATTATGTTTGATATACTTTTTAATACGATAATGTGCCACTTAATGTCCAAAATACGTTCTGTAAAATACTGTAGGACGTTGAATAAACACCATGTTTTATATGCCTAGTTGTGGAATACTACAGTGTACCCCTATTGACTAAATAGCCAAAATGGATCGTCGTGTCAGCCTATTTCTTCGGGATTTCAGAATGGAATCAAGACGAGCCCATGAATTTTTCGTGGGCGATCTGTCTAAGATTTGTCAGGCCCCGTCTCTCAGAGACTGCCCGAATCTACCATGGGTCGTGTTGCCAAGTCCTTAACAAACTTTCCACAAGATTATAGCAACGCTCCCCTAAATTTTCCATTCTGCAATACCTTAACTTTATGGGAACACACACCGCTGAGGTATAGACGTTACGCGGCATGTGTCTGTACATACAATACTTAGAGCATTTATAAAAATTAATATAATTCCTTAAACAATAACGTATTTTAAACCGTATTCGCATTATTCACTTAACCTCAAGATCACAGGATATTGTATAAATTGTAATTTGTTACGATAACATTGAGATAATATTGTTCTCTTATCGTGCAAAGATTCTTCCCATCCAAAGATTATTCGTAAAAATAACAATATAAAATACTAACGTGATATTTTTGTGTTATCTATTTATAAAATACAATTTAACGTTATCTGTTTTTTTTTTAATTAAATTGTATAATATTTATACTTCTTTCGCTAATTTACATATATAATTAACGAGCAATTATTTATTATGACATCGTCACGATGCCGGACTTCAATTTTGAATGCTCTCCACCACTAATTAGTAGTGGCTTGCCCTTTTACATCATACTTTTACTTTAATAATAGAGTCGTTCCGGTCATCTTACACCTTTCAAGGGAACTTTTTGAATTACAATTACATTATTTCTGGTTTGCATTGGAAATTCATGCCTCGTGTTCCTAATTTTTCTATATAACGCCAGAAAGAATAGAGGGTCCTTCTTACTTGACTCTCTTTGCTTATTATGACTCCACTGCCCAACAGAGCACAGAATGACTGTAAACAGAGCACAGAATGACTATAACGCACGATGTTTTATCCTGAATTCCTCATTTAAAAACAACAGATTACTGATCCAATACGGTGTCAGCTTCTGTCGAATCTGAATGTTCTTCGAATTGTTGACTCAACAACACTTGGCAGTTTAATTTGGGGTATTGTAAACCTTTCTCGACTCCATTTTGCAGAAGTTTAACCAAGAAAAACTTTAATTTAATTTTTAATTAAAATTTGATAAGGAAATAGAGAAGAGGATGCCGATAGCATCTTACTAAAATATCATTCTGTAGGGACTTGTTTTGTCATTGTATAGTTACATATATGTGTTAGAAATTAAGTATACTTAATTGATTAATACCTTATATTTCCTAAATTTAATTATTTACAATTTTTTTGAAAGTATTATTAGAAACAGGATATGAATAGAAGTACGAAAGAGAAGAAAAAGTATATCACATTCTTTATTGCTTCTTCGTCCTGAATGCTTCAAATATGGGAAATCGATTGGAAAGAAAAAAGGTTTGTAATTATTTATAATTTAAATATAATTAGCTTTTTTTAACATTTTTTAGGGATGTAAAACTTATCATAAAAAGAGTGTGACGTGTCAATTCAATACTTTCAAATGTTTCAGAAATATTTTAGGACGTTACGGACAAAATAAATATACAGTAGACCACCCTATAACACTGTTTGATAATTCCGTGTTATATGAATTCCATGTTGTACGAGTCACTTAGATTTTACAAATACGTGAGCCGTTCACAGTCCGGCACACGTATTTGTAAAATGTAAGTGACTCGTACAACATAGAGTTCATATAACACGGAATTATCAACAGTGTTATAGGGCCACTTCAAAATTAACATTGTAGCTACACAATGTTTACAGTGGACTCTTGATTATCCGGAGTAATCGAATAAATATCATCCTGGTTAATCTGGAAATAGAGAATGCCCAGTTAGTTACTCGTAATAAGATGGATACTTCAACAAAGGATGGTCAAAACGGATAAATAATAAAGCGATTTTGGATGGCTTAATGACTCATTAATAGGCATTTTTGATATCCCGGATAATCAAGAATCTGTTGTAATTTGTTGTAGTCGCATAAATTATACAAAAGCTATGTAAAATTTTGCCTATTATGTAAGTTTTCCCGATAAAACTGCAATCTTATCATACAAACCATTCCCATTTAAAAACCGTTATGAGGCATTGGGTTAGATGAGTAAAATGTTAGGTTATCCCTGTACATTTTCGATAAGCTGAGTGCAGATATTCCAGTAGTTGCACTTAAAAATGCCTTGAATTCCCAGTGTAATAGAATTTTGTAATGAAAAGTTCACAAACCGCATAGCCCATAATTTTGCTAATTTTGATCCCCTCCCTGTCCTGATAACTCTTTGTAGCCGGACCCACACAGCAGAAGGAAGTCAGACCCTCCAATAATCTTATTTATTTTTAAATTTAAACAAATATAGCTACAGCTTTCTTGTAACGATCCCTAAACAAACATAATAAACACAATAATACAGGCATATTCATCAGTTACAAATAACAATTGTAAAGTTCAAGGTTGAGTGATGACAGCTACGTGACCAGACTCAGATTCTTCCTCCAGTTATAATGGTCCATGATTGTCACTCACATTTCAAACGCATAAATAGAAAGTCCTCCCGAAAGGCCAAAGAATCCTCCACAGATCCAAAGAATATTGCGATTCCTCTAGAAACTGATGAGCCACGTCTTGGGATATCCTGGCTTTCACGTTACTCCAAGATGGCCACGATTACTCTAAACAAGAGCCATATTGTCTTTCTTTTAAAATAGAAAGCAATTAATTTATTTATTTATTAATAATATAAACGTTTACGTAGTTTTTCATGCATTATTTCAGGAATTATTTTCCGATTCGGAAAACATCTCAAACGATGGCCACGAATTTGATTCCGCGTTGCGTATTTCATCAAATTACTATAGAGAAAAGATTAAAGTAAAAAAATAATTTATATTCTCTACATAATTCTTTTAACATATGCATGCATACATATGTAATAGTCTAATATTTTATTACAGGAATTTGCAACGAAAGAAATGCATCGCGCTAATAGAAATTCGGCACCGGCATTTTTCGATAGCGTAGAAATTCAGTAAGATAATGTTTTTTTATTTTTAATATTTTAAAACAATATGTCGACCCCTCTATAACACTGTTGATAATTCCGTTTTATATGAATTTCATGTTGTATGAGTCATTTAAATTTTACAAGTACATGTGCCGGGCTGTGAATGGCTCACGTATTTGTAAAATCTAAGTGACTCGTACAGCATGGAATTCATATAAAACGGAATTATCAACAATGTTATAGGGAGGTCGACTGGTATTTAAAGAAACGAAATATTATTTTGTTACAGAAAGTTTTTCAGCCAAATAGGAGAAAGCTCTAGGGTTCCTGCGAGTATGAACAGATCTAATAGTACTGGATTGTTTCAAGGAAACGTTGATAATTATCAGGTATTATGTTTTATTAATTAATTCTTCAATTGTGATGTAGAATTATAAAATACAAAATCATGTAAGATTCGTGCATGGCCTTTAAAAGTTTATACAGTAGACATCCTCTATAACACTGTAGATAATTCCGTGTTATATGAATTCCATGTTGTTGTACGAGTCACTTAAATTTTACAAATACAGTTCACAGCCCGGCACACGTATTTGTAAAATCTAAGTGACTCGTACAACATGGAATTCATATAACACGGAATTATCTACAGTTATAGGGGGGTCTATTGTATTTTAGTGAATTCCGGTTCCAAACACATGCAATTAATACGGAAATGATTTGTGTTTTGTTCATTTTATTCATATCTTTTTATTGTTTACTAGCTGCAATGACCCGCTTCGCTGGGTTTTTATTTCTTCGTACATTTGTATGTAATATAGTTTTTGTTTTTTTATATATAAAAGACTGTTTTTCTAAGTAATCTAGAATCTAGCTGCAAGAACCCGCTTCGCGGAGTTTTTATTTGTGGGCAAAAAGTAACGATAGTGAAGATTAATTAAGATAATTACATTATAGCCAATCTTACCCGTTTTCACAGAATGCAAGAATTAGGTCCCCCGTTTCTGATTAGAGATCTGGTCCCGATTCTATTTCTGAACGTCTCCTGTTCACGTC